AGGAATAAGACTGGGAACAAAGGCAGTGGAAGCCACTGTGGAGACATTACGTCTGGTGAGTACATCTGCAGCTAGTGGCCAAGCATTCCGGCCAGCAGGGCAAATGGGGTAGGGTGAGGAGAAAACTCCTGAGCATGTCACCTGCCTCAGAGCTCCGGTGGGGGTAAGGAGTAAGATCCAGGCTGAGTTGTAAAGGACCTGGGGACATAGTTCAGTCTGATGTTACTGTCTCTTCCTCCTGCGGTCGGCTCTGACTCAGTTAGGTTGCTTTAGCACCGTGTCAGACCCACTAAGATCTGCCGGTCACTTCGGAGTTGAGATGAGCGAACTGCTGAGAGAAACCAGCTGCTGGCCGCACTGTCTCAGACATGCGTGAAAACCAAACCAGCCACCGCGGACCCCTCTAAGAATGAGGGAGAGATCTAATGAATAGAAGAGTCGTGCCAGGACACCTGGAGCTGGGATGAGATGTCAGGGAGGGATTTCATTGTCAGGGAGAGGGCAGATAAAGAAATGAAGTCATCTGTAGCAATGGGGAGGGGAACACTGGCCCCAGAAATAATTTGACTTTTAGTCGTATTTCCCTGGAAGAGCACACAGCAGCATGGACTGGGGCGACTGAAGACGTCATAGAAGAGGAGGGAGGGGCTCACTTGGAGGCCCGCCATTTTGAATCAGTGGAGAGTTGACCATAGTAACATTCGCTGAATGCCTACCAAATGCCAGGTGCATACAGCCTCCTCTAGGAGCCTCACAATAATATGAGGGAAAGGATGTTGTTATTATCTTCATGATATTGGTGAGGAAATTAAGACCCAGAAAGGGAAATCAAGTGTCACAAAATTGCACAGCGAATGAAGGATGGATATGGGTTTGAACTCAGCGTAGGCTCAGGTGTGGCCACACACTCTTAGGTAAAACATGGAAAATTCTGGAAGTAATGGTCAGTGAATCCCGTGAGTTATCACAACCTTCCCTGTGCTTTCTCAAACAACCCAGAGCCAACCACTTGAGCAGCCTGCTGCAGTGAAGCAGTGGAGTCTACCACACAGCTTCTGTGGAACCACTGTGACACCCAGCTGCCAGCTACTCCTGGAGACAAGGAGAGTCACCTGCCACCCAGCACGCTAAAGCACAGTGAGGACAAAGCGATGGGCTCAGGGTTGTGTCGGTAAATTCACACACACACACACACACACACACACACACACACACACACACACGCGCGCGCGCGCGCACGCACGTACCGTCACCATAACTCACCCCGCTGTGGCCGCTTCAAGAGCTCCCCCCACGCAGATCTCAAAGCCTGGAGATGGATGACCTGCAAAAACCGAACAAGAGAGAAAGTGGGGTGGGACGGGGCACTGGTGAGGGAAACAGGGGAGGCGGGTGAGCAGTGCGTGGGAGTAGAGCCCCCATGAGAAGGAGCAGAGGAGGACTGACATTCTGAAAGGTTTTGCAACAGATCTTGACAGCCATGCCTGTCAGATCAGAAAGATGAATGGTGTACATTTCACCAACCCTTGGCGGAAGGGTGATAATGAGAGCTTGCTGTCTGTGGGAGGGTGCTTGAAACCAGATCCAATAACCTAAAGAGCTTGGAGGCTTTATTAAGGGGTACTTGTAAATCTTGAGAGGTTCTCAGAAAAAAAAAATACCCAGGGAAAAGTAACAAGTCACAGAATTTACTGCTCAACCATGGAGTGATCTACAGTCACCTTCTCCGAAGCTCGCCAGCTTTTTGCTGATGTCAGACTTTAGGGTTCCATACTACGTCCTTTGGATGTGGGTATTTCTATAAGAGAGCCCTCAGCTTTCCACAAGTGAGCTTCCTGCCGCCTGACTTAGCTGCCTCCAGCAGTAATGTGGCTGTAATTTACATGAAAGCAACAAGTCTTTTCAAAGTAAAATTGACAGAAGTCCTGCTCAGCCTGGGTATCCAGCCACGCTTCCACTTTGTTTCTTCATTCCCTTTCAACCAAACAGTCCCCGACTCCACTCTGAGTAAAATCATAACCAATTAGCACCTCATCGGCGATTAACATGAATTAGAAAGAATAAAAAAGACGGCGCTTGTTTATGCGGTGGTGGTGCCGATCAATACTTGGCAAAAGCCGAGTCCTGAACCTCATTAATACTCCCAGCCCTTGTTCTCTAAGTCCAGTGAGGATGCTGACCTTTAAAATCAGGCTAATTAGTGAAACCTCTTGATCTTCCACCCAGGCTGCCCCCTTCTCCCCAGACTCTGGAAACTATGATGGGGACTGCTGTGTGGCAGAGCCAAGGTGTAGCTGGCATCTGTGTAAGCCAGGACTGTACAAGGCATGGGGTCTAGAGGGCAGGCAGTCCTTTGGACTCACTGACCTGGCTTTTGTAAACTAGCCTTGAAACTATGACTTCCTGTGCTGAGTAATCAGAACCAAACCTGATTTCCCCCTTCCCAAGCTCCCACCGGTCCCTCAGCCTAGCATCAGGAGCAGATGCGTAAAGCCTGAATGCCTGAGCTTCCTGAAGATCTTACCTGTACTCTGCTTTGTCCCTGGTGGGCTTCTGGCTGGTCAGGTGGTAGGGTGGCCGATCCAAGATTCGGGAGGCACCCTGACTCTAGCTCAGAAAAGTGCCACAGAGGAAGCTGTGAGGGCTTACCAGAGCCCCTTCGAATGGCAGTTCTGAAGCCTTTCCCCCCTTTTATGGATGAGAGTCTCCCCCTGTCGCTCAGCCCTGTCAGCGCTGGCTGGCAGAGCACAGGCTGCTGGGAGCCAATGGGGAGGTGGCAGTGCAGTCAGAGCTCAGACCCCCGGGCCCTTCCACTCAACTCCCTGGGCCTGAGTGAGACACAATAGCTGCTCTTGGAGATGTGATGTGATGTGGGGGAGGACGCACTCGCGCAGTCTGGGGGTGGATTCTCCGCGGAGAGTGCCGTTTGTCACTTGAAATTCGGCCACTTTCAGCATTTCCAGGAGAGTGCCACAGGAAGACAGAGACAAAGGTGGGGAAAGGCAGAGACAGGAAGAGACACAGAGAGTAAAACAGAAAGGCAAAGGGAAAGTCAGCCGCGGACAGAGAATGGGAACAGAGAGGCAGAGTCCGAGACAAGCAGGAAGAAAAGAGAAAGACCCCCAGCCACAGAGGCTCTCAAAGACCAGGAGATAAAGAAGGATACAGAGTCAGAGGACGAATACGGGGACAAGGAACGAAGGCTGTCTCAAAATGTAGGGACCGAGGGATGTCCTGGAGTGCCGAAGCAGAGTTCTGGGTTATGGAAAAGGGACTTTCAGCCCCATGTGAACTGGGTCACACACACTGGGATGGGCATGAGTGGACATGTGTCTTTGGATGCCAGTTGACTTGGGCACCTGCCTGAGCTGATGCCAGGCACCGCCCTTCCTCACAACCAGGGACTGCCATTCAATTTTGAGTTATCCCTGGCAGTGACATGGAGTGAGTATCACGAAATCCCCCTCAGAATCCTGGCTATGATGCGCCTTTGTGTGGCTCTGGGTGGGAGCATAGCTGCCTCATGGGAACCCTCCGCCATGCCATGAGCAGCCTGAAGGTTCGGCACGGCTGTAAAAAAAAACTCCCAGAACACGGGCATCTCTGAGTTTGGGAGAAAACATGCTTGTCTCCAGTCAGCAGCAGAGTTGTTTGCCTTGGTTGGGAGACTGCCAGGGGCTGGCCGGGCCGTACACGTCACGAATGCCTGGGTTGCACCAGGCAGGGAACAGAGATGTCAGCTTCAGTTCTCATGTCCTGGCCAGGTAGAGCAGCATAGGCTAGAAAGCTGAGAACCTGGCCACAGAACATAGCATGTCAGTCACCAAGACCTATCATCCAGACCCAGACGGATCTGGTCCTAACCACCTGCAGCATACCTGCCCACCTCTAGGACTTGGCTCTAGAGTGTCCATCTCTGAGACTCGGTCGGTTTGCCTGAACAAGGCAGACAAGAGCTATAGTTCACAACATTGAAAGTGTGGGTTTCACCTCTGCAGAGTCCTAAGCCAAGTGAGTGGATTCAGCCTCAATTTGCTCATCTGGAGAATGGGGAAAAGAGCCCCGTTGGGATCTTGCCATAGGGAAAGGAGGACATGCCAAGAACATTTGCCATAGCTGGCACGTGGCCAGTACTTCCTTACAGCTGTCCCCGAGGTGGCAGTGATCAGCTAATCATGCTCTGATGCACCAGCCACACTTTGCACCTCTCTGGGGCATCATCCTCTTCCGGCTGCTGGGTCATTATGTGCTCTTGTACAACTCAGATGACAGAAGGGGCCATTTGGTGAGTACCTTGTACATCACAGACATTGTCACCTTTTCCCCTGTATCCTCAGAGAACAATGCAATGACGTGGTTATCACAAGGCAGCCTTGGGTGATTAAGCAGCTGGAGTGTGGTGGGGTGACAGCCTTGCAGGTCCCAGATGCCCCTGTCCCTCTGGCCTTGACTCCAGGCCCTCTGCCCCTTCTCATCTCCACCCTAAGCTCTCCTTCTGCAGGATTCCTCTCCCAAGGTGAGTGAAGCGCTAGCTCTGGCAGGCAGGAACTTCCAAGCACTTGTACGACATCCGGTCGCTGTGTCTCAGGCTGTCTTCCTGCTTGCCAGCCTGGAGCTCCTCGAGTCTCTAGTAGCTGTTACCCAAGGACCTCACAACCTGAGAATGAACTGTTTCTTCCCCCTCAAGGTCTCACTCTCTTGCCATTCACTCCTGTTCTCTTTAATTCCCCTCCCTCCTCCTAATCTCTACCTACAGAAGCTCTTGGCAGTGACCTTGGAATAGACTGAGAATCCTAGAAGAGATGGGGCAGCATCACTCCCATAGCCGGAAGTCAGCAGACACTAGAAGAGAGAGATGTGGGAGTATCATAAAGAGAAGCAAGTGCAGGGAGGCAGAGATGCTTGGCACTGAATAGCCTTCATCTGAGGCTATTTTAGCCTCAAAAGCAAATATTTCAGGCATTTAGTTTTCCTCTATCTGCAATGTCCTCTAAACACACACACACACACACACACACACACACACACACACACACACACACACACACACACGTGCACACATGCGAACACAATTACTGCACATGTGTGCAGGAGAAGGCTAAAAACAGACTCTCCTTATCCCTGGAGAACCTCAACACAAAGTTTGCCTATCCCTTAGGCCTGCGACACACACACCCTCCCACTTAGGGTCCTAATACTGGTCTCTGAGCACCATCACAGGGGAACAGGAAACCGAGCTCACTGGACTGCCCTGTGGGCTGACTCCATCCATCACGACTGACAGGTACCTCATTTCGATGCACAAATGCCCGAGTCATCCTCTGAAAGCAGGAAGATAGCACCAGCTTTATCTAGCGGTCGGGACTAATTCCCAAGTTCTCTCATGCCCCTTGCCCGCCTGTCCTCAGTGAAGGATGAGCTCTACTTCAGATCTGTGGACAAGAAACAAAGAATAAAGAGAAGGAAATACTTGAAACAATCCACCCTCAAGAAGTCATGCTGTTAGAAAGGTCTCAGGAAGATCATGTTAAAAAACAGGAAAGTAAAGAAAATGAAAGGCAGCTCTTCCTTCTCCTTTGGTGCAAACCTCTCTCAACTCTCACCCGTCCTGTGATCAGCTGTGCCCCTCACCTCCTGCTTGCAGACTAAGAAACAGGCTGGGAGATGGCAAGCAAGCAAACAAACTACCTTGGAGTAAACCTATCCAAAGATGTGAAAAATAATGAAGACTTTAAAACACCAGAGGAAAAAAATAGAAAAAGACATTAGAAGATGAAAAGACTGCCTGTGATCACTGATTGGACAAATCGATACTGTGAAAATAGCTGTCTTACCAAAAGCAGTATCAGAATCCTAACACTATTCTTCACAGAAACATAAAATACATTAGAATCCCTGTAAGAGAGTCAAAGCAATCCTAAGTGAACAGAGTATTGCTTGGTGTATCACTACCCCTGATTTCCATTATGTGCACAGTACCAGCACAAAAACCAACACATCAATCTGTGAAACACAATGGAGATACAAATCCATGTAGCTACAGCCACCTGGTCCTTGACAAAGATGAAAAAAAAAAAACATACACCAGAGAAAAGGCAACACCTTGAGCAGATGGTGATGGGAAAACTGGATAACCATACATAGAAGGATGAAAGTCTTCCCTCTTACCCTGCACAAAAATCAACTTCAAATAGACCAAGACCTAAGTATAAGACCTGCAACTCCGACACTTATAAAAGAAAATGTAAGAAAATATCTTTGTTCCTTTCCTGTTGCTGTGGTAAAACACCATGACCAAGGCAACTTAAAGGAGAAAGACTTTATTCAGGCTCATGGTTCCCAGGGATGAGTCCATCACGGCAGGGAGGCAAGGGAGCCAGAAGCTGAGAGGTCACACCAGTGAATACAGACCCAAAGCAAGGTGGTGGGAACAACTGGAGATAGGGTGAGACTACACAATCTCAAAGCCCACACTTGATGATTAACTTCTTCCAGTGAGACCACACCTCCTAAACCTCCCAAATAGCAACACCAACTGAGGACCAAATTTATAAATACCAAAGCCTATGAAGGACATTTCCTGTTCAGACCACCATATTCTACTATTTGCCCCCAGAGGTTCATGGCCATTAAAATGCATTTAGTCTAACTTCAAAAGTCCCCATAGTCTTTTACAGTCCCAACACCGTTTACAGATGACAAAGTTCAGAGTCTTTTCTGAGACACAACATAATCTCTTAAATTGTAACCCCCTGTAAAGTAAAAACATAAATTACATATTTCCAACATCTAATGACATAGAATATACATTACCATGAAAGAGCTTAGATGACTCTGGCCCTCCGCATTCACTATCTGCAACATACATGTCTCTCTTGGGGTGACTACTCCCTGTATGGAGATCTCCTTGGCGGGTGTCTATGGCTCTGGCGTCTCCAACATCTTGGGGTCTCTACTGAAACCCAGGCTTTGCTTTCTCAGCTTCTCACAGGGCTTCTTGTCAGCATTTAGGCGTCTGTACTGGCCTGCCTTTAGGGTCCTGACAGGATACACCTCAGCTGTAGCCACTAAGCCCCTGTGCGCATTCGCTACATTTCCTTATAAAAGGTGGGCCTTGTACACCTCCCGTCTCTCTCTCTCTTTCTCTTCCTTTGCTCTCACTCCCAGGGGCCGGTCTCTGCCCCCTTCTCTGCCTCTTCTCTCCTGTCCCCTCAATAAACTGCCCAGGTAGGCCCTGTTGTATGGTGTGACGCCTTCCTGCCATTTTAAAAAAACAACACTTCTCACAGCCTTTTCCCCTCTCAGGCCCTTCATGCAGGGATGCCCCTGCCACTGCCTGGCCTCAACAGCTCTCTCAAGCCATGGAGGAAGAGCCTAAGACACCTTCACTCTTAGATCCGTTATGCTTCTAAAACCAGCACTGATGGGTTCACAACGTGCCCCCACGGTTGGGCGTGTTTGCACATGCCCAGCGGACGGCGGACCTGGACATTTTTGCCTAGCCAGTTCCAGGTCAAAATAGCCATTTCCGGGTCAAGGCGTCTCGCGTGACCAGGATCCGTGACTTTGCATGGTTGCGTATGAGCGTGCAACGCAACCTTGTGATCTGCGCAGGTGTGGAGTAGTTATGTCGACCTGTGTACACACGTATGCCACCCAGCCTTTAAAAGCCGGTGCCATATTCCCGGCTTTCTCTTCTTCCTCTTCTCTACACACGTGTCTTTCCCATAGGCCTGGGCACCTGTCTGTCCCTTTCATCTTAATAAAACTCTTGTTAGCGGATTCTGTTGTGTTTCGTGACATTTCCTACATAGATGTGACCAACCGTCTTATTAATTAAGAAACACAGAGCCGATTCAGAGAAGAAAGCCAAGAGGTCAGAGCTAAGAGCCTTACCCTTCCTGCTTCAGCGATCCTCTTCAGCCAAGAGAGCTCTCCGAAAAGGGGCTACTTCCTGTGTGTTTGTCTTTATAGTCTTTCTGTTCTGCCTTCTCATTGGTTGTAAACCCAAACACATGACTGCCTCGTCACTGCCTGTATGGACAGCCCTCCAAGTCCTCTATGGTATTGAGATTAAAGGCGTGTGTCTCCAATGTTGGCTGTATCCTTGAACACACAGAGATCTACCTAGCTCTGTCTACCAAGTGCTGGGATTAAAGGCGTGCGCCACCACTGCCACGCTCTTGCTATGGCTCTAATAGCTCTGACCCCCGGGCAACTTTATTTATTAACATACAATTAAAATCACATTTCAGTACAATTAAAATACCACCATATTTTCCCTTTTCTATTTTAATAAAAAGAAAAAAAAGAAAAAGGTTATAACTAACAAAAGAAAAACTATATACAAAAGTACAATAACTATATACAATATATACAAGTAATAAATACCTAAACAATGTCTAGTCCATTTTTATTTGACAAATTCAGAGAAAATAATTTTATTATCTATCCTATTTTGGTAAGTCCAAAATGTATCTAATTCACTTTCTATCCTAATTAATCTTCAACTATAACTAACTAATCTTCAACTCCCTCAGAGGCCCAAGAAGGAAATAATATTAGCTAACAAAAATAAAAACAGGAAGTACATGCAAGCAACTTCCAAAAAATTTTTGAGTTGACAGAAACAGCCAGCTGCCTGGACAGTCACCTGAGGTTTCTGCGCAGTGCTGGAGCATCATCTTCAGCCTATAGGCTTAGCGTATCTGACAGACTCATTTGTGAAGTAGGATGTACACAAGGTCAACAGTTCAACCTCACATTGGATGAGAGCAGTCCATGTACCAGAAACACCTGAATTCCACTAGTGTCATGTCATGATTCAGGATTTTAAATTCTGTTTTAAAACTGTTGATGGTTTTTTAATTCAGCTGTCCATTCTTCTTGGCTGTGTATATATGACTTCATCTCAGCATCCCGTTCTTCTCCACATCCCTCTATCAAATGCCAGTCTACTATTGAGAGGCGTGAGCTTACTCTTCAAGAATAACTGTTTCAGCTGCTGTTCCATTGTACATCAGAAGCCATTGGCCCACTGCCTGTTCAGCTGCCTTCAAAGAAAAGGGCACTGTACCTTTTCCGAATTGCGAAGGCCACTTCAGGGATGGTACCATATTGTCCTGGCCTCAGAAGATGCCTTTTGATAAAGCCATAACCACACTTGTTTTGGCAAGAATCAGTAGTCCTTTGTTTCATGTCCTGTCTGTCCATTTTGTCCTGTTGATTCGAGGATACTTTGTTGCCCAGTGGCTAACTTTTGCCACAATGAAAGTTAACTCCATATGCAGTTTCTTCAATGCCCATATTTTCTCTGAAGTAGATTGGTACTGCCAGGAGCCGACATGTCTCAAAAAAGAAAAATTTTCTAAGTTATTAAAACATTTTAAATGCCATATTCTGTAGATCTCTGAAGGGTTTGAAGATGACCTGTCTAAAATATATCTGCTCAACTTTTAAAACATATCTAATATGACTACAAGTTCTATTGTAATGTCTAACTACTAACTTTCATTTCTTTATATCCTAATAGTTGGTAATAATAACATTCAAGGATCAGAAAATTGCATTGTTATATGAACGGTATAAGTACAATTAGAAATATACATATAGCATTTTCTAACAATATCAATTTCAATATATATAATTTGTTTACAATATAAAACAGTCCAATCCAATGTAAAATATTTAAAACTAGTAGCTGTCTTTTTCTTCTTTTCTTTTCTTTCTTTCTTTCTTTCTCTCTCTCTCTCTCTCTTTTTTTTTTTTTTTTTTTTTTTTGCTTACAAACTGTATGGCCATGGCAGGCTTCTTGCTAACTGTTCTTACAGCTTAAATTAATCCATTTCTATAAATCTATACCTTGCCATGTGGCTTGTGGCTTACCGGCATCTTCACATGCTGTTTGTCATCATGGCGGCTGGCAGTGTCTCTCTGACTCAGCCTTCCACTTCCCAGCTTTATTCTCCTCCTTGTCCCGCCTATACTTCCTGCCTGGTCACTGGCCAATCAGTGATTTATTTATTGACCAATCAGCAACACACTTGACATACAGACCATCCCACAGCATTCCTCGCAGGGTAAGAAAGAGCACCGTAAAATAACTAACAAGCACCACACAGACAGCACTACCAAGTTAAGCTACCAGCTTGGGATGCACTACTTCAAACTGTAGTAGTGGCAGCTATTGTTTGTTGTTGCTAAGTTTCCAACTTGGGAAAGAGAGCTCCTACTGTGGTTCAAAGGGTGTCTTCAGAGGCATGAAGGAGGCAAGAGTGAAGGGGTCATGGATTTTTCCCTCACAGCTCTGGTGTCTCCAACATCTTGGAGTCTCCAGTGCAACTCTGGTTTCACTTTCACAGCTTCACACAAAGGCCATCCACATTCTCTTTCCCTCTCAAGGTCTTCATGCAGGGAGTCCCCTCCCTCAGGC